GGCGTTTATAATCAATAAACTAGTGGGCTCAGTCACAGTACCACAATCCCTGTGCGACTTCGTCCTGTCCAATGAAGTCAGCACCATATATCAGAAAAGTGGTTTTGTGCAATTATACACGTGTGATCAAAAAAGACAATTTTTATGGAGAGGAACGCCAGCGGCAAATTAGTTTTATAGTGAACAGTGAAACAATGACAAAGGTTGCAACATGAAAATAACCGTAGCAACAACAGCGGAAACCGGAAGTCGGGTGCCGACAACATCCGGAATGCGAAACTGTACGGTATGTCCTCAAACCCTAACCCCTGCATCAGTCAGTTCGGCTTCCACATAAGACACAAAGTGCAACCAAATCGTTGAAATGCAGCTCATAACATAAGTGCACACTCATACATTTGCCTAGAAAATGTGAGTGACAGAAACAAGGGAGAAAATCACAGAATGGTTGGTGGGTCTATTGTAAATTCATCCAGTGTGTTTGCCTATCTAGAGAGAATGAAAGNAATGAAAGCAAAAAAAAACAAAAAAAAATTACCAGAAGTACCAGACATCTGCTCCATCACATGCTCCGCTCACACGCCCATGAAGTCTCCGTCAGACGAGCACTTATCCGCTACGGGTTGTCCTCAAAAGAAAGGATAGGGCACGACCACATCCTATGATCCCTTGCTTTACATCAATTTCAAACCATTCATTCAATTCGCCACATGCCATCGCGTGCTGACCAACTGTCTATCAGGGATTCGACAATAAGGACGACATCAACAGCCACCATTTACTGATTACCCAGCATGCATGAGTCACTATTGTGAAGGTCAAGATGGGGTGGATGATGGGGTAAGAGAGTTACGAATAGACATTTACCCAGGATGTTCCCCCCTCTGTCCGCATATTTAACCCACCCAGCTAAGCACACCATGTTCATTCGAACGTGTGCGTGACCCATCACGATAAACGAAGAGACAATCCTTTAACCAGCCCCCGATGGCATCATATGACACTAAAATAACCTGAATCCGCATTCGTGTGGAGTGGGGTAAATGGACCACCTACTGTGGGTCTGTACGGTTGGTTATCAATCCACATCATCTCGACATCTACACAAACGCACGCACGCACGCACACAGTCACAATCTAGCCTCACACATCAACAACCAATTCGTTACTTCATGATCGGAGCATGCAGCTAACACATCGTCAAACCATTGCCGTTCAACTGTCTGCGAAAATAAACAACTTTCCATTTCCTCACAGAGTAGTGATTTTTGTGATAAAAACGCATCGAAACATGCGGTGTCCAGTCAGGTCAGATTCATATGAAACAAAATAAACCGAATGTGGGGAGAGTATCCCCCCGCCCCAAGTTACTTAGCCTCTGATAGCATGTGGAACAGGTGTTACAAGGCGAACAATTGTGAACTACGATCAGTGTGATTTTACAAGTAGAGCAAGGAATGCGTTGCTAGTTATACCTAAGCGGTCGCGAAGAGTACACACACGTACAATGGAGCGATTATTAATAAACAGCCATGTAGTATTGGTGGATTGGGACTAAAACAAAAGACATCGGGTGTTTTTTAATTACAGCAGATTAGACAATATTTAACAGAACGCGTAGGGACGCTAACCCGTGTTCCATATGAGTGTATGAAGCAAAGCGTAGATGTCCTGACGTCTACAACAGGTTTCGATTGTGTATGCACAACACGATGTTTTGATCGTCATGGTAGCCGAGTTACCATTTCGTTCAACAAAGTGGGTGGAGTAATTGGCAACTTTTGATATCCCTGAAGTTAGTGTAGCTCGTTGGACTGCCTTGGATCGTATCTAAACTTTCGATCGATGAGCTCAAATATTTTGTGCGAATGCACAATGAATGTCCGACGGAATCGTATTACCCCACCCTGCTGTAGAACATTGAGCATTGTAATGGCATCATGCCCTGTGGACCACTCTCACAACTTCTGATAAATAAGATGTCGAGTGGTTCAGCAATAGCAAAATAGGTGCGCGATTCCCATATCTAAGTCTCGTAGAGCACTTACACACTCCCAAACAAATGAAATAGAACCCGGAGGATACTCAGGCCAGTTCATCTCCATTGACTATGAGCTAAGGAAAGAAGGGGGTGATTTAATATGCTCACTGAAAAGAAGTAGTCGTTTTTACAAGGCAAAGAAAACGCGAATTGAAAAGTTGGCGAACCAGATACAATAGTTTCAACCGTTTGAGGCATTATCCCTGGTTTTATCTATGGACCCAAAGGATGGTCGAATACAGAGCCTCGTGGACAAATTTCCAACGGCGTATAAATGTGGTTACTGATACTGGAGATACCGATGGAACAGAAGATTTCCGACAACCCTATTTGATGAAACGCGTCATTACCTTGTCCACATCGTACTTCATTTTAATCGATTAGCCAACATTAGATATTAC